AGCTGAGCCTGAACCCCGGGCCCCGTGAGTGACATGGGGACATGGGGACACCGGGGACATCATTGGGGACACTGGGGACACTGGGGACACCGGGGACATCATTGGGGACATTGGGGACACCCCTGGGGACATTGGGGACATTGGGGTGACACAGGGTGGCACCAGGATGCAGAGGGACACTGGGGACACCAGGGTGGCACCAGGATGTCTCAGGTGCCAAGGTGTCCCCAGGGATGGCTCTGGGTGGCACCGCGGTGTCCCTGGGCTCCAGGCTGGCTCTGGGGTGGCTCTGGGGTGGCTCTGAGGTGGCCCTGGGTGGCTCTGGGTGTCCCTGGGGTGTCCCTGGGCTCCAGGCTGGCACTGGGGTGGCTCTGGGTGTCCCTGGGGTGTCCCTGGGCTCCAGTCTGGCACTGGGGTGGCACCAGTTGGTACTGGTGGCCCTGGGTGGCTCTGGGTGGCACTGCGGTGTCCCTGGGCTCCAGGCTGGCACTGGGGTGGCTCTGGGGTGGCACCAGTTGGCACTGGTGGCCCTGGGTGGCTCTGGGTGGCACCGCGGTGTCCCTGGGCTCCAGGCTGGCACTGGGGTGGCTCTGGGTGTCCCTGGGCTGGCAGCGGGTGGCACGGGCACCCCGGGGTGCCCGGGCAGCCGGCGAGGCCGGCGGTGACAGGCCGCTTCCCCACGGCAGGCGGGCGCCAGGCTGGCATCATCGTGGGCTCCATCCTGGGCTCCCTGCTCCTGCTCAGCCTCCTGGGGCTGCTGATCTGGGCACTGATCGCCCGCTACCAGCGCAAGGAGTGCCAGCGCGCCTGCAGCGACTGCAGGTGGGCACGGGGGCACGGGGGGCACTGGGAGGGGCTGGGAGGGGCTGGGGTGGACTGGGATGGACTGGGATGGACTGGGATGGACTGGGCACCATGGGGCATGGGGGCACAGGGGGCACTGGGCTGTACTGGGCTGTGCTGGGCACCAGTGACTGGCACTGGGCTGTACTGGGCACCACTGGGGACAAACGGGCACCACTGGGTGACACTGGGTGACACTGGGTGGGTGCCACCAAGCACAGGGGTGGGACAGGGTCCCCAAGGGGCACAGGGGTGGCACAATGTCCCCAAGGGGCACCAATGGGTGTCACCAAGGCACAGGGGTGGCACAGGGTCCCCGAGGGTCACCAATGGGTGTCACCAAGGCACAGGGGTGGCACAGGGTCCCCAAGAGATGTCAGTGAGTGCCACCAGGCACAGGGGTGGCACAGGGCACTGATGGTCACCAAGAGGTGCTACCAAGGACAGAAGGTGGCACAGGGTCCCCAAGGGGCACAGGGGTGGCACAGGGTCCCCGAGGGTCACCAATGGGTGTCACCAAGGACAGAGGGTGGCACAGGGTCCCCAAGGGGCACAGGGGTGGCACAGGGTCCCCGAGGGGCACCAATGGGTGTCACCAAGGCACAGGGGTGGCACAGCGTCCCCAAGGGGCACAGGGGTGGCACAGGGTCCCCAAGGGTCCTGCTGGGTGTCACCAAGCACAAGGGTGGCACAGGGTCCCCAAGAGATGTCAGTGAGTGCCACCAAGCACAGGGGTGGCACAGGGTCCCCACGGGGCACCAATGGGTGTCACCAAGCACAGGGGTGGCACAGGGTCCCCAGGGGGCACCAATGGGTGTCACCAAGGACAGAGGGTGGCACAGGGTCCCCACGGGGCACCAATGGGTGTCACCAAGCACAGGGGTGGCACAGGGTCCCCAAGGGGAACCAATGGGTGTCACCAAGGACAAGGGTGGCACAGGGTCCCCACGGGGCACCAATGGGTGCCACCAAGCACAAGGGTGGCACAGGGTCCCC